GAGGGCAGATGTGCTGCGCACCAGAGCCCAGGGCTCAAGGGGGCTTTAGGTGCAGGTTTTCAGGCATCGTCAGGTTTGTGCTTTCTGTGTACAGAGCAGATCACGGAGTGAGGCCAGGGGAAGAAGCCTCAGGGGAGGCTGCAAGGTGAGGTGTGGGGGAGTGGACTCAGGCTCTGCTGATTCCCTCACTCAGGTTGCACCCAGAGTCCCTGGTGGTCTGGCCTCCCCACAGCAGGCGGAGGCCACAGTGTGACTCTGGCCAGTGAGGTGTGTCCTGACCCTCCAGCCTCCCCATACTGAATAATCCAAACCGTCTTTTGAGAGCTGTCCACGCTGGCGGCCGAGAAGAGACAGTGGCACCTGGTCTGCTCAGCTGGCCTTGAATGTGGGGCACCACCGGGCTCACACAGCCTCCTGACATTCTTTGGTTCTCTGGCTGGTGGTGGAGGAAGGTTCCAGCTGGAGTTTGGGGCCTTGACGTGGGAGGTCAGTCACCCCCACACAGGCCTCCAGGATCACCTCCCTGGCACTCACTGGCCATGGGTGTCTTCGTTTCCACTCAGGAAGCCGTGTAAGCAGCCTTGGGAAGACACTGACATGGGTGGAAGGCTTCCCAACACGAACCGTGGGGCTTCTCCGCCACGTTGGCACAGAATGGCACAGAAGCAATTAGATTCCATCACAACCTGTCTAGAGCCTCAGGGCATCCTCGGGGTCTGCAGGTGATGCAATGGAGGCTCTCATGACAAAGATGGTCCTTGCATGCCGATGGCAGCTCCAACAGCCCTCCATGGCTGCAAAGTTGTTCCTGAAGGCCCTGGGTGGAAGCTGTGGGAGGCTGTTCTGAGCTCTTGGTGATGCTGTTTCGTGGGCAGCCTCAACGGAGCGGACACACGTCTCTCAGGGGACATCCTTCCTCCACATACTGAGCACGGGCCCTTGAGGGTTCCGCAGGTGCTAGAGCACTCTGAGGGCTGCACTAGGGTGACACGGGCCCAGGGTCCACTTCCGACCCCACTTGGCGGCCTTGACCCCACGCCTGGCAATCCAGTGGTCTCTGCCACGTAGACATGAGCTCACCAACACCAGGTCTCGCAGGGTTAACATAACCAGAGTCCCTGTCTGGCGCATGTCATGGCAGAGAACAGGCACACCGCAGCCATCGGATCCGGGCACCCTCTGATAGTGGCTCCACCATCGCCAGGAGCCAGGCCTCCCCAACTCTCAGCCCGCAGAGGAGAAGACATGAGGGGTGGAGGCCAAGGGTTGGAGCCCGGTGGGGGGTAGGGGGGGTGG